ACATAATACATGTCGTATTGAACAGTGCATTAATCATGAATCGATTTCGACGTCGTCATCACCCCTCTCAACAACAAGCACTTAACCATCATTTTCTAAAAGTCTTTAAAATATAAAAACTATTAATCGATTTTAATTAGTCTCTTTTTGTTAGAATTTAGAGGTAAATCAAAATCGTTTCTGCCGATTTTCTTTTTACATGATAAATAAATAGATACGTTTACTCCATACCATAATAATAGCGTTCTACCAATCTATATGTACGTAACTGCAGTCCGCTCGCATGAACTACCATGTTTATGTCGTATTTTTCATGTACATGTACCTACCTACGATATCGCGTCAGATCGCATCGATTTTCCAGCGGGTCCGGACCGACGCGCGCACCCCGCAGACGGCCTACTGGCTGATGATGACTTCACAGTGACGTCACGCGACTCGCTACTCCACCGGGCGCTATGTATTATAATTTTAATATGTCATTTTTTGGTATAATATATTGATATCATGTCATTTGTTGGTATAATATATTGATACCATGTTTTTTACTTGTATACGCGCGTCTTAGTGGTGTAAGTACTAATCACGTGTAATAATATAAAGCAAGATAGAGGCTCATATCATTCGATACCGTCAGATGGGAATTTTCGATCGAATAAAATTCAGGGGGAATACAAGGGGATGCTAAGAAAGCTTAATTCCTTTTCCTTATTCCCCCTCCATTATAGGCACTAAGGGTTTTTAATTATCCATTTTTTGACACCTGTAGAGCTGTAGACTTTGTGGTGAACCTTTTTATTTTATTAAAATGTTAAGTTTAACATTACAAATCCCAAATTTGGAACAATCAAAAGCTCTTTTTCATGCTATTGAAAATATTAGTGACGATTCTCTAGCTGAGTTTGAAAACTATTTATAAATTTTTTCTGATAAGACAGCTCTAGTTAATGAAAAAATAAGAACACCTCTTTTTATATGATCTAATATTGAAACAATAATCTAATCCTTTAAAATATAACGAAATAACTATTTTTTTTTTTTTTTACATTTAATCAATAAATTATTTGGTGTACGAACTTAAAACAAAATAAAACGAAAACCTCAGTGAAGTCAGAAGATTTAATTCCATCACATATAAATATGTATTAGATATTGAAAAGTATATTGAAGCAAGTATACTTAATACTTAAGGCAGCGATAAAATCGTAAATATTATTCTGGTTAAGAAATTAAAATAAGATCTGAAGTATTATCTAGAAAAATAAATAGTACAATTATCAAACTATTAAACCAAGATACAGTGATTAAAATATGACAATAAACTGTTTTCAATAATAAAAACATTATTACAAATATTACATCAGTCACCATAGTTAGTGCTAACCGAATATTTCTATCATTGATACAATTAAAATATATGATATAAGATCAACAATTTGTTAAGACCAATTTAATGAATTTAAAAAAATTTTGCTTTAAATTTAGTGTTGATTTTAACTCTATAATTATTGCTTGCATATACGAGTATTTGATATTTTATTTTACCTAGCCCTCTTATTTTTACATTCCAAAATCCATCTGCATGCTTGTATAAAAATTAAACGTCCCATGAGAGTATTTGAGAATATTTCAGGTATTAGGATATATGTTTTATTTCTTTAGTATATTTTAAATTTTGAGAAGAAATACCCGTATATTTTAATTTTAATTTATTAGGTATTGTGATTTTTTTTTATATAACTGCTTTTAAAAATAATCATTTTTAAATTTTTTTCTTTTATATTGAAAGTATTTGTGTTCTATTTTGACTATTTTTATACCTAATTTTCATTAATTTTATATGTTAATAATTTGTATCTTTTTTGGAAAATGAAAATAAAATGTGCACATTTTTACGTTTATTGATAACTTTTGCATGAAAAATTATATTTCTCATTTATATTTTAAAAAAATTGTCGGTTTTATTTTTAAATAATATTATCTTGATGTTATTATATTGTAAAAACATATTTTTAACTATATTAGTTATTATTGAAATAATGATATCGTTTTTCAATAATCACCCTGTTGCTATGTTTTATTTAGTGCCCTCTTGTTTAGTTTTTACCTGGCGTTGTCCAAAACAGCCAAGATTTCAGTAATTATTTTTTATTCCATTTCTCATTAAAAATGTATATCATTAAAATTTATATTTTAAAATATAAAAATATAACAGATTTCAGTTACTTCATTTGAGTTGTATTAATGTATGTTGCAAATAGGATTTAATGCTAAATTAACGACGTCGGTATATTTGACAATTTTCTTTTATCATCTGATCTCATTTGAACTTTCTCTCTCCATAAGATTAAATACTAAGGTTCTCGATTTCAATAGCTGTATTCATTATTTTAATGAACGAAATGAAACGTTTTTTATAAACTATGTTACAAGTATGCGATGGAAAGTTTAGTAATAATAAAAGATGCTCGATTAAATAATTATATATACTTAATAAACTATCACATTATTCTTCTGAGACTATTTTTGAACATCAGCGAACTTCGTGCCCGATAAAAAACCAACACGTGCATCATCATTACAAAAACTCTTCTTAAGGAACATATGGCACCTACTCGTAGACAACGTATTGTTTCGAAAACTATGAGTATCCAACAATTGAACAACTTGTTGCTCTCATTAGAAAAATACTTACCTACAGCGGTGTTTCAAGTGTCACCATCACAAAATGTCTACTAACTTTACTAAAATTCTAGAAAAAAAGAGAGTAAAAATACATTATGTTTGAAAAATGTATTCTTTATCAAGTATCAAAAACTAATATAAAATTAATTCAAACTGTATTATATTACTATTGATAATCACTTCTAAGTTATTTATCAATAACGATGTCTTGAAAAAAAAAAAATGGCTAAAAAAATTTTTTAAAAAAAGTTAATTACATTGATTAAGTATTGAAAAATTTTTTGAGTAAGTACTTACATCACAAGTAAATCAAGTATAGATACAATATAAATGCAGTATGAAATAAAACATTAATAACAAGGAATATTGGAAATTGTACTTGAAAAAGTTAATAAATATTAAAAGTTATTAGTAATTATAATATATAGTAGATACCAACAATACAGTTTTAATCTATTTTATTTTTTAAACTTAATAAACAATTAACTTTTTAGTTTTTCCAAACAATTAATGACATTTTTGTCGTACTTTTTTTCTTTTGCCCAGAGTCAAAAGCTAAACACTCTATTTACTTTATACTCGTACATTTTAAAAATGTTTAATGTTATCAAGTTAGCTGGCCTAAAATATCATCAAAATAAATTTCTACGGCAATGTTTAACATTTTTTTTTCTGTTAAATCCACTTCTGACTCCTAAAGTCTAGGAAATAGTTGATGCTTTTGATTTTCCAAATACTATGTTTAAAAAAATATATTTATAAATATATTGTATTGTATTATTTTCAATTGAAGAATCGACAATGATTTATTTACTTTTCTTTAAGCGTACCAAATAAAAAGTGTATCATTGTTTTTTTTTTCACAGCTCCGCCAAAAACAAAATATATTTTATATAGAGTGCGTTGACGTTGACAGATGAGTATTAGGTATAGAAAAAATTTCGCTGAATAACCAACAATCCCGGTATGGTAGTTTATAGTTATTAGCATTCACAGTAGGTAGTTATATAAATCACTAACTGACGTAAGTATAAATTATAAGTAAAATATTATGCTAGTTATTAATGCAATAGCCAATAACACATCTACTCAGTTGCGTGCCAAAAGTTTTTAGAGGCTATTATCTCGTGTTTAAGATGGGTGTATTATTAATTTTAAAAATACAAAATACAACCATTTTGTTTTTTTTTTTATTACTGTAAAATAGTTATTTATAGGACATAAGAATCTACAATTTAAGTAGGCGAGTCCTTAATTTTTTATTTCACCTAAAGTTTAAAAATTATTTAACACACTTTTGTATGTTAATACAATGTAATTATACAAACATTAAGTAGGTATTGTTTTTTAGAAAAATTGTAGATATGTATAATATATCGAGTATTGACATTGCATGCGTATATCTACCCTAAGAATAAACAAAAAAAATAAAAAATAAAAATGATATAAATTTATTTTTGAAGCAAACATTTATTTATGTTAACAATAAATAAATTGTAAAATAATAACTGATAATAGAGTTGAAATTTATTCATCATCTGCCATTTCCAAACTATGGTATTTTGAAGTTTTTTCAAGCCAATTTTCTACTCCTGTGTTACCCATTTCATTGGCCAAGTTCATTCGATTGAATTTTCCATTGGTCGTTTGGCATTTATCCATAATCAATGCATCGCACTTGGTAATTTTCACTGGTAAAAATAAATAAAACCAAGCCTAACAATTTCCATTTGTATTAATCAAAATACCCAAATAGGTATATCAATTAAAATAATTTTTAATATTAAAATAATTCAAATTACTATGAAACTGAAAAATTAAAGTACCTATTGGATTATTATATTATGCAACATACTGCTTTCAAATTGTTAATATTAATGTATTTAAAGGTACATAAATTAGGTCTAATTAAATAAAATCTAACTAAGTAGGTATTGTAACAAATTTAGATTTTTTTCATATTTCTAACTTAACATGTGACATATAATTATTTTTTTGTACTCGTGTACACTAAATAGTAGATAGCAGTGCGACGATCGCTGAATAAATTCTAATAATATTATATTCTATGGGTTAAAATAATTTGAAAACATAAATTTACGTATCTATTTAGATCACATGTAATATGAATATTTAAATTCTCGTTGGGAATTTAGGACAGTATAAAATAATGTACAAAGATACTTAATAATAAAATTAACCACTCGATGATAACCTCATCTCTATCATGTACAGTTTGATCGATAATTTACTATACTTGTAAAATTAAAAACATAATATTTTACAGAAACAAAAACATTATATAAATCAAAAATACAGAAATATGAGTGCAAAATACATTTATACATGCAAAATATAAAATAACATAAAATTTTACAATTTGTTAAAACTGCAAAATACATACTCAACAAACACACCATAAACACTTGCAGGAATTGTAAGTTAAATTAAAACAACTTATGTCAGGTGCACAAGCTAGAAATTCAGGTTAAAAAATACTGACCAACTAATAAAATAATGTTTTACTTTTAGATAAGTACCTCACGCACTAGAAAACAGCCAGCCAAGTTGCTATAACACCTTAAAAACCAGCTATAGTAACAACTTAATATTAATAACTTTTCCTATAAAATATACTTTAAAAAAGTTAAAAAATATATACCTAAAACTTAAGTATATTACACACATTATTTTAGAGAAATAAAATTGTTTGCAATTAATAGATAATTACCTATGGAGTACAAGGTTTTATTAAAATAATATTAGTAGACATTTGCTAAATAAATTTCTTTAATATAAATACTAATAAATAATGCCTATTAGCTAATAATTAATATGGATATTATCTAAAATCTAACTTGGTTTATGGTTACTAATTTAATATGTATAGTGATTTTTACCTCCATAATTGATATTAGTACTATAATAATTAATATGTATACTGTTTGGGATTATTAGTTTAGTAACAAATAATCTATAAGATTAATTTTAAAGGAATAAAGTTAGGTACATGGAGGTACCTACTCAAAATAATTATTAATTATTATAGATATAATTAATATTTAAAACCATTCAATTTATTTACATTTGTCATATACTTATTAAACAAAAACATAACAAATAATTAACATCATTATATTATGTACAATAAATTTTATTAAAATAATATTTTATAAAACTATTTTAATATCACAATTATTTGTCTATTACCTAGAGTTACCTACACCCTATAGTCAATATAGACATATAGTTACCTCATATCTGTCCAATTTTATAATATTACTTCTAAAATAATTACTATAAACTTATGTTTTTATAGTTAATTTCTTTTGATTTCTAGTATCTACATATTGAAACCTAAAGGCCCAATAAAGTATGCAAAAAAAAAAAAAAATTCAAAAAAATTACTCAAGAATTTTTAAATTCCAAATTTTTTTGTAAATTGGTACTTTAATTATATTATCTTGAAAATAAATTAAATTATCAGTAAAAGTGTACAGCTCAATTGAAGTTAAAGTATACAGAATACAAACTTTGGTATAAATGTTTTCCACTATCCTGACAAATTGTTATTCTACAACAAAGTGTCTTTTCCACTATAGTTGGTAAATTAATTTTATGCGTGGCAAAAATAATTAACTTTTTACTTTAAAATAACACTCATAAATATTCAATAACTAAACAATTGCAAAGTATAGGTACCTAGGTAAATAAATTTAACTGAATGCAAAAACACAAATTAAAAATTCATGAAATACATTTACCAGCTGGTATAGGTGATTTTGGACAATGTGATGAGACCACAGCTAGTTTTTTTAATGTTTTCACAATTGGTGGTTTACATTCTTTTGATGCTAAAGCTGGAGTAATACTTGGTAACCTGATATCTAAATATGATCCTTTTTCTGTCATAATCTAAAAAATGAAAAAAAAAATATTAATTTAGCAGTTTTTATTAAACATTAATTGTTCTACTTTATTATTCATAGAATAAAGTTTAATGGTTATATCTTTAGCAATTAAAGTAGCCAACACAGTGGCTAAGTATGTTTCTTTGACAAACAAATATTCTAATGCTGATCTTTGCCAATATATATATCGACATGTTGTCGCTGCAATTACAGAAACCTAAAACAAAAGTAAATATTAATAAAGAATCCTATTTAAAAAAAAAAAATAGATATAATCTACTTTAAATTTGTCTTCAGAGGAGCCTCTACTCTCAAATTCTGGAGAATCCAAAAACTCGCATGGTCCTATAGGATGTAAAAGTTGATGATCTTGGAGAACATTTGCTTTTCCGGACATAAGTAGTCCAAGTCGATCAGTTTTTGTGATATTTTGCATAGCATAAGCCTCACCTATATGTAACGTAACAATTTGAGCAAATTGTTCACTCACTAATTTCTTGAATTGAATTCTAGTAATCTATATAAATAGTGATAATGTAAAATCGGTAATAATACACCACATGTATAATAAAATATACCTATATATGCGAATACATAATATTGTTATACTCTATTCTATTTAAAAATAAAATGGGCGATGGACTAAAAGTGATCTTGATTTGTACATTCATTAGTAAAGCTGTTAAAAATACTGAGGTCTAGATGTTTTTCTTTGATAATTTTTCACGTGAAAGATGATTAATTCTTAAATAGAATAAAGTATATTAACTGATAATAATTTACCTTGAAAGGCTTGAACATACTACGATAAATTTGTTCAAGTTCAGGATTAAAATTAATCGGTCTTCTTTGATAAATAAGATAAATTAGCTGTAGAATATTTATAAAAAGAAAACATAAATTCCAAGTGAACAAATCGGGCGCACACACTATTCTCCATGCCCAAGTAATGAGTATAAGAAAACCTAAAACCAAAATTAAGAATTTATTGATAAAATATTTATGTAATTTTTATTTGCTAATAAGTTAAATAAGTAGGTGCCAACAAAACATCAATTTGGTTTCTATATATTTTGTTTTTATTTTTTTAATTGTGCATAATAAAATAACATTGATACACCTTTATTACTTTATTTTTTGTTTTTAGACTATACCTGCAATTAAAGTTGAGTGCATAAACAATATACCATAATAGCTAGTTGGCACTGAATATGATACAAAGAATAGAGCATTAGCTATCTGAAACATCCAATGTTGTGATGGTCGCCAATCAATACACCAAACTACATAGAAAAAGATTGAACATTTTTTAGACATTATATATTTTACTCAATAGATGAATATATAGATTGTCCAAAATGCTCTCAATAATGTCAAACTTAAGAAAGGATTGTATACATTGCTTAATTTACCTGCATGCTCAGTAAATGAAGTAGTATTAGTACTATTTTCATTAAAAACTGATGGTATATTAATTATTTCGCTGAGACCAAAACCAAAAGAAGCCATGATGAAAAAAAGCTTATTTAATTAACTAAACACAAATTAGATAATTATTGTAGTTTAAAAAAAAAACATTTACTGTTTTAATAATAGTATAAGAATCAGTTTTAAATGCAATGCCCAGACGCCCAGTGTCTATAATATGCTAGTTGTAAAGATAATAATTCAACAGATTACAGATATTGATTTTTCTCTTATCATGCAGGGTTGCAAGAAGGGTTGCAAAGTTATACAATGTTTTTATTTTAATATAACTTTTATTTCATTATAAGTTAATTGTTGTAAAATAGTAATTATAACTTAACAGTAAAGTTTTTTTATAGGAATAGAATATACACTTATCTTACAAATATGTGAATATCTATTTTAATTAAATAGATGTAAATATTATAATATTATATCAAAATATAATAAGATAAATACCTGTATTTACTAAAATAAATTTTAAAGATGCCGAAAAAATACTACTTGCAATTTTAGATAATAAAAACTATATAAATATATATTATTTTTAAATCACAATTTTTTTTTTATTATTACAAATATTGTTCTAGAACAATTTAATTAAAAAACATTTACACATATGGATAAATTAAAAATCATAAAATTATGGAAATCTATTTTATGTTCATTTGGCGACAGATAATACACAAACAAATAAATTTATACATTTATATATATATATATGTAAAAAAAAAAAATCTTTTATTAAATTGTTCCCAGCTGTAAACATAGATAAGTAGATAATTTTAAGGTTTCCAAATTGTTTACCATCAAAATAACTTAAAATTTAAAAAAAACATTCATAATGTAAAAAAATAATTATGATTAATAATTTTAAAATAAAAAAAAAATGTAGAGAAAATCATATACATATAAATGTTATTTTTTTATAATATAGTAACTACTTAGTAACAGTATTTTAGATGAGCAATTATTAAATGTAGAGTAAAAGGAAAATGTATTCAAACAAAATTGAAATATGATTAATTTATAATAAACTAATCAGTTACTTTGAAAATAGGTTAGAATTATATAGATTACATAAATGTATTATATCTATACAATGATTAAATTAAAAAAATTGTATATCACTAAATAAATCACAAAGTACATACCAAATATAATATGAACTTGGTAGTACTTACAACACTAAAATTATGAAACAGATGGACTATCAGTACCACTACCACTATCATGTTCTTTACGAAGATGAACACCACGTTTACCACCACTTTTGGATAAAGTGGCAACTTCTTTCTGCAAACACTTGATTTTACTATGTAACATTTCTACTTCTCTACTATACTCCTTTTTATCTGAATTCATTTTAGTGCGCAATTCATTTTCTGTTGTAAAATGTTTGGCCTTCAATTCGGTAATCTAATAAATACATTTTAAATTACTAGAATATAGATACAAAACAAATATTAATATCTCTTACAAATTTTTCTTTGTTTAATAGTTGACAACTCTTTTGATTAGATTGTTTTTGTAACATGGCTATTTGTTCTTTAAGATCAGTAATAACCACTACGTTATCTGAATTTACATCAACATGCCTATGAGAATTTCGATGCATTTTTGAAGGTGGGGGAAAAGCAAAATCTGGACCACTATCATCAATTACTTTCATTACATTGGCATGTTTAGTTTTCCTATTTTTTGACCTGAAAATTATTAATTAATAATTTGTATAAAACTTGACACTTTTTAATGCAACATAGGTTAAAAGTGTTCAACTAAGATACTAACCCATCACGTTTCTTTACTAATAATTTCATTTCAGCATCAGTTTTTTTTGTTTTTGCTAAAGCTCGTTTAAATGATAAAGTACATAACCAACATAATACTTTTCCATCAAGCAACTGAAATAAAAATAAATCATAATAAATAAATGCATAATAAAATATAACAATTTAAATTCTTACTTCACAGTCCATGTCTTTTCTATTAAATGCACAATTTTGTTTGCATTGATCACAAGTTACAGGTGGCCCATATTTTCGTTCAGAATTTGCACATCGTTGACATTTTTGGCCAATGAATGCAGCTATTATGTTGCAGTAACTACATGCTGTTGGTCTACCATATTGAGTAACAAATTGTTCACATTTTTTACAAATTGTACTTGTGTTTGATTTACTAAAAAATATGAAAATCAATTATAAGTATTGAATTTAAGTTTTTGAAACATACACACAAATATAATAGGTAGCTAAATGTGTACTTAGTACCTATTAACTATAGTTTAATAACTATTCATAGTAAAATTTATATGCCTATAAAATTAAGTAATTTGTTTTATTTTTAATGGGTCCACGAGATAAATTAAATTTTTAATAATAAGATTATTTTGTCTCACTACTTACTCAGTCTGTTGGAATTCGGACCGACAATAAGTACACTTGACTACAGGATATGATCCACGACATTCCTAAAATATATAACATAATATGTAAATGTTGGTGGGTCACCTAATGGCTAATATGAGACTAAAAAATTCAATTAATCTACATACTTTACAGAGCTGTTGCCCAGACGACAAATCTTCATACGGGTACCGTTTGAAACACTTCGAGCAAGCAAATAACGCTGATTTATTATTATTACTCATATCGAAATTAAACTATTTGTAAAATGTAAGGTAATAACGACGAATAAAAAGTTTAGTTACTTGTTTGCGTATTACAAAATAAATAATTCAAACACAATGCCTTTATATTATTTGTGTACGTAGATAAAATAAACAAAAATTGACAAACTGTAAGTTTGCAATGTGTTTGAGAAATGAGAACAGACAACAGCCAATTTAACTACAGACGACTAGGTATCCATAAAAAAAAAAAATAAGCTTCGGATCGTGATACCGATACAACGCGCCAACCAATCAAAACGATAAAATCGGTGTAGCCAACGATCTTAGAATCAAGTAAATTGCAGTTCACGTCATATTGATATCGTATCACACATTTTGTTTTTCGTAGTTTTTCATGTATCAATCTTGAATGCATAGACCTATTTCCTTTATAGGTTGAATATGGTTGAATGTCTCTACACTCTACAGAACCATAGAGTTATCAACATTCTACGAGTCGTCTGACTCAGTACTCGGTCTCATGTATGAATGTATGATGAGTAATGTCTACAATATTGTTATTAAGTGTCTTATTCCCGCATAGCGTTTTCCTTGGTCGTTATTCGTAATTACTTATTATTATTATTATTGAACATTCGATTCTTGATCGTAAATTGAAAACATTATTCGCGTGACCAAGAAAGATTATTTTTAATTTTTATTGTTTAAACACAATAATGTCATTCCATTTTGTTTATTAAATTCAGTAAGAGAAAACTAGATCATTTAGATAGGATGGCACAAATTCCCGAGTGCCCGGAAACTCTGAAGAAGATTCAACATCATCTAAAAATTGCTTCGGAACACGATTCTAAAGATCCAGTAATCAGTTATTGGTGTGAGTTATTTGACATCGATAAATCCCTTTGAGCATGTTTGTAATTGTATTGATTTAGGTCGGCTATATGCTCTACAAACTGCATTGACACTGGATAAATCATCAAAAGATGCGAAAATATTTTTAGTGTCTCTAATGGATTGGTTGGAAAAACAAAAAAATAATTTAAAAGATAATGATATGATCACTAATGAGACTGCTGCTCAAGCACATATAGAAAATTATGCAGTAAAGTTGTTTAATTTTGCTGACGGAATGGATCGTCAGGCAAATTATAATAAGTAATATAATTTATTTATACCATCTATTTTTTTCTAAATGTTATGTTTTTGTTTTGATTAGGAATATAGTTAAATTATTTTTCACTGCTGGTCTGCTTATGGATGTTTTAAGCGTATTTGGAGATGTTTCTGAAGAGATCACAAACACTCAAAAATATGCAAAATGGAAGGCTACATACATTCATAATTGCATGAAAAATGGTGAAACTCCTACACCTGGACCACCAGTAACAGAAAGTGGACAAATTGGTTTCAACTTTCCAAACCAAAGTGAAGATATTCAACAACCAACAATTAATCCTGTTCCTGTTACTCCTACTCCACATACATATGAAGGTTAATTTAATATTTAAATTAATACTGAGCAGATGTGAGGAATCACAAAGTCAACATATAATTCCCTGCTTAACTCAAAATAATACATTTTAAATACATATAAAGTATTTTGTTACATAAAAATCTAAATTTGAACGAGTAGCTTATAAGTTATAAGTTATAACTGTTATAAGTATTTGAAGTTTAAATTGAATAATTATAACTCATATACTCTCCCAAATTCAGATATTAATGTATTAAAATACTCCAAAAAATATTCTACTTCAGAATATGAATTAAAAAATAGTTGCCATTAACCTAACAATGATTTTTAAAAAAAATGTTATTTCATGTTGAATTTATGCGAAAAATGTTTTTTTAAAACATTTTGAAATAATATGTATTTTTTGATAACAAAAAAAAAAAATTATTCAGTATATTATAATTTCAGATTATTCTCCATCGACTCCTAATGAGTATCAAAAAATATCAAATATGTCCACAATTAGTCCAACAGAAATACAGCCAACCATATCGGAAAGACCAGTTGTACTCAGAGGTATAGTTTTCTTAAATTACTTTTTGTATAAAAACTTAGTTAATAAGTAATATTTTATTTCCAAAAAAATCTAATAACATTGGTATATTTTAGATTGGGTGAGGTGTGGTTATTATTTCAAACAAATAAAAATTATTTTACATTTTAGATGGAATACAACTATCACCGTCACAAATTACTAAAGCGCAAAAATATTGCAAGTTTGCTGCTAGTGCATTAACCTATGATGATGTCTCTGAATCCATTGCTAATTTACAAAAAGCTCTGAAGTTACTAACAACTGGTGAAGATTCATAGTTATTAGATATTACTTACTAATTATTAAAATAGTGTTCAAAAAATGTATACATTGTTTTAAATTAATATTATTATTATTATTTTTATTTTTAATGTACATGACTTCAAATTGATCAAAAAAAGAAAAAACAAACAACAAAAAAAACTATGTAAAAATTATTTTACACCTACACATAAATTATTTACATAGGTACTAAAATAAATGACTAGAATGAATGAACACAAAAATTTGTTATCATATTATGGAGGGATGGAACAGGGGTTGTGTTTCCCAAGCTTTAGTTAAAAAAACCTTACAATAATAAATGTGCAAAAATTTTAATAAAAAAGAGCTAAGTTTGGGAAAAGTTATTATTTTTCTATTCTTGTTTTTGAGCTTTAGGTTCAGCAATTTCAGCCAGTTCTTTGCGCCTCAATTGATAATCAATAACCAATCGTCCAGCTAACATGAATAAAAACACTAATGCCGGAGCCATCCGTTCAAATTTATCTTTGGCTGCATAGTGTGTATAAACAGCCAATAAATGTGACATCAAAAGAGTTATATTCGCCCCTTGTTTAACATTTCCTTAAATTTAAAAATGTACCATAACAATTAGAATATTCATAAAAACGTGTAAATGAGTTAAGAATAGTTGATATTATAGTTAAATACTTACTATAAGGAACAAATGCCAAGCAAACACCACTTAATACTTCAGTTCCACCAACAGCTCTTCTATACCATTTGGCTGGCACTTTAAAATCTATCGTTTTAGATAATGGAAACACTTTGGCATATTTAACATAATCCTTTCGCTGAAAAAAATTACATTTTTAGATAAATTATTATAATTATTGATTATAATTAATATAAATAAATTGGTGAATTACTCTATTATATATAAAATTAATAAAAATCATAACTGGATTAATATAACTGAAAATGTGTAATATATATTTTACACAAATCATTCAATTATTAATTTTATGAATAAAAAGAAGAGCAATAAATTATTTTTTTCTATCCTAAAAAAAAATTAATTTTTATCCTAAATATTTTACCAATTATTATAGAGATATCTTCTACTTCTCGAGAATAAATATAAATTATTTTAACAGTTACATAATGATTATTAATTCATAAAAATATATTTTAAAATCTCTTCATATAAACTATTGATAAATAGTTACGTATTTTGGTAGAATCTTTAAACACATTTACGCTAGTGCCAAATATTTTAAATTCATACGTGGGCATATTGCCAATCAGTACATTTTACCACAAATAGATTCATCAAAAACACTACACAAAATTTATATTTATAAAAATAAATTTCCATTTTTATTAACTCAATTATTTGAATCAAAACAACCAATTAGGTAGTGTTAAAAAATTAATTTCTTTTAAAAATTACAATAAACCAATATCATATAAAATTAAACAAAATTATAAAATGTAGGTGTATTCATTAAAAAGTGAAAAGTTTAATTCATTTTTCAAAAAAATTAAAACAGGTAGGTACCTTATACTATTTATAATTTCTGTCTGACCATTTAATTTTTCAATTATTTATACAAGATAATAATATGAACTTTTGGCGTTATTTGAATTTTGATTAAATTATAAACAATTATTAAAATTTTAAATAAGATAATATAAAGTTACTTACAGATTAAGGAAAAATCAATTTAAATTCAAATTCACTGAAGTTAGAAATTAAATTGTTCTAATCTCAACTGAAATTAAATAATTTGTATAACATTTTTAAATTGAAATAAATTACACTGTTTTTGAAAATTAAAATAAATATTTATAATTACATTTAAAAATTTAATTTTTGTAATATCTGTATGCCTTGTTTTATAAAAACAAATGTTTTTATTAAATGTTCTAACGTTAAAAAATCATCATTAACTCTATTAAATAGAGGTTTATAGTTTTTAAGCGATTATAACAGTCTTAGAAATTATGTAAATGTGCAAAAAATATTCAATTGAAATGAATAAAAAATAAGTATTCATACCAATCAACATACAGTTTTAAACCTTGATAAACACATTACACTTATCATATTGTTATAGATAATATTATACCTAATAATAGCAATAACTATTTATTGACATAAATTATTTCTTACAAGATCCTTGTGCAGCTCTTTACTGATGACAGGACTCATTTTCAGAGTACCTACAAATAGGAAAAAAATACCAAGTAGAACCGAAAGACTCTTTAGAACTATTGATCCCATATTTGAATTTATGATTATCTACTATTTCAAAATTACTACACTGCAGCTACTAAAACGAGTTTAAATCTAATGGGATAGAAATTTAGTTTGTCAAAACGATCCACAAGCCACAGGGACTCCTCCTACGCTTTAGCGCTTTACAGTTTACCGCAAAAAGAAATATGTTTCGCAGTGTGTCCTAATCAAAGATCAACTTTTGAATATCTTAAACATTAGGGTTCGAATTTCACAATAAAATGTATATAGGTATTTTATAATAATTAATTAATAAGCAATAAATACAAAAACACAACTTTTTGTGGAGTAAAATGTGATGATTGAAAATATCGAATGTTAAATATTAAACCACTGAACAACATAATATTAAATATTGCATAACAATTGGACAAAATTTATATTATTTTAAACATTGAAAATTAAAATGTTTTACATGTACTCCGGTGGTTAAGGTTGGGTACACTGTTGACACAAAATAATATTATGACCTATGTGGAGTGTAGATACTGGATAATCGTGGTTTGGCAGATACTGAACGTTTTGCTTATGTAGTGTATCCACATGACCGGCAACATTTCTAGAATTTCCAATTTTCCAGTGCATAGTATCACTATGGCATTATCCCATCATTTTGCGATTGCGCTTCTCAAACCCTGTGAAAATCAATACTTTAAAGATATCACAATTGTTAATGTTTACTATCCTTTGTTGTTTAGAACTTTGTCAGAACAATCAATGTTGAAAACCATTTGCTTTTAAGCTTAATCTTTTCAAGTTAAAGAGCGAGCTTGATTAATTACAATGACCGAATCTGAAAATATTGGATCAATGGACAAATCAGGTATTTATGTTTATCACTTATATTTCAATTATAGGTATGTTCTATTCAATGGTTATATTATCCATTTTTAAATGTCGTAGGTCAAGATGACGATATCATTGAAAATTGCATGCCTAAAAAAGTTGATAAAAATAATATAAAGGGTAAAAAACGTAAAAAGTGTTTACGTGACAAAACAGCACCAAGACCTCCACATTCTGGTAAATAATAAATACATTTTCTTGTAGTTACTACTAATTGATAGATTATCTGTCTATGTACAGGGTATATACGATTTTTAAATGATAGACGTGAACAATTCCGATCTGAAAATCCAAATCTACCATTTGCTGAAATTACCAAAATGCTAGCTACTGAATGGAACCAATTGCCAGCTGATAAAAAACAAGTAATTTGCTTTATATTATAATATTAATCATCAAAAAAGAAGAAGTTAAATTATTCTTCTATACAAATATATTATTTATAATTATTTTAGCATTATCTTTTAGCCGCCGAACAAGAACGAAGAAAGTATGTTGAAGAATTAGATGCTTATAAAAAGACTGATGCATACAACAATTTTATTCAACGAAAATTGAAAAAAAAGAAAGTGAAAACCCCAATCCAAGAAGTTAGTATAATATATTTAACTATATTAATTTTACAATTAGTCTACATGTTAATATTACCTAGTATAATATTTTTGACATCTTAGTCCACATTTATTATATACATATAAATATACAGTAAAATATCTCAAAAAGCTTCTTTTAGTTGAATTTTTTTATATGTTGAATTCAAAAAACTTGTTCATTAATTTGTCATTTAAATTCTTTATTTTAAGTAATTAATAGAACTTGAAATAATAATTTTAATTTTCAGTATTAATAATTACATAATAATAAATAAAAAAAAAGGTTAAGTTTTCTATATTTTTTCTGAGCTTTGAATAAAAGTAGTTCAGTGAAAAATATATACTACAATTACCAAATTTAATTATAATTTTATAAAATTAAAAATTAATTGCTAATAGTTATTATCTGTGTATTTGTTCTATTTAGGATCATAAATTAGAAAAAGAAAAACCATCTACTGATAATAGTAATACAGTTTATGATATTCCTATATACACGGAAGAATTCTTGAATTTCAATAAAGGTTAGTATTTGTTTTATTTGTATTTATTTTAAATTTATTATTATTTTTTATTTACAGCGAGAGAAAGTGAACTAAGGTACCTTCGTAAAACGGTAACAGATCAAGAACAAGAAGTATCTGTCTTAGATAAACATATTGGAAACATGAATAATGGAATAATCAAATTAATGGCTAACACTGAAAAACTCAAAGCAGGATGTTCAAAATACGAACAGTATTTGATTAAATTACGGTCTATACTTTTAGATAGTTTTTCTGACATTACTTTCCCAGGTAACTATTTCAAATTAAAATTAAATCTATTCTTTATTTTACTATTATTTTAATAATTAATTTATTCATAAAAATGATAAAATTGAATATGCACAATCTTTAGATCATCGAAGAATGACAAATTGCATCTAAATTATTTTAGTTTGCCTTGTCACTTGTGCAAAATTAATTATAAATGGGAGTTGTCAAAGGATCGGCTGTCTAAAGTTTTAACTGCCCGTAGTATAACACTTCCACAGTTTTTTATTTATATGAACTAAAATGTAGATTGTTTTTTCACCTCTAAAAATTTAAATAATTTATGTGACTATCTCTGATTTTAAACTATTTGATTTTTTCTATACTTCTTTAGTGTTGAATTGCCATGTGATATCATAAATATCATTATTATCTTATAGAAGAAGGTATTTGTTTATATTTATTTTTAATGTTTTATATGTGTTAAACTAATGATCTAATTTAGCAAGAGCAATAATAATATATTGTTGTTTAAGGTAGGATAATGCAAGTTTCTTATAATAATCTTATATACTAAAGGATGGTAAGGAGAGGGTAAATAATTGGGAATAAGAATTAGTTTTGCTTAAATGACTCAATATTTTACTGTAACCAAAGCAACATATAAATTGTAAAATTAAATAAAACGTGAAGACAAAAAAGTTAAAGTGTTTGAGTTGGTAATCTTAATTAAGACAATGTTGAATTTAGAGAAGTTTGATATATTATAATATACCTTATATATATATATAGATGTGACTCCCACACAACAATGCATACTAATAAAATAAAAACTTCAAACTGCTGTAATAATTGAACTACTTATTTATGCACACTTCATATAGCATATTTGTAATCAACATCAAATTGATTTTATTTATAAAAAAATAGTGCACTATTAAGTACATTTATTATTAAAATTATTATTCTCAAATTTTGTGTATGATATTGATAAAATTATGAGGTAATACAATTTTTTAACATGAACACCTAATCATAATTTATAAATGTTGTGAAATATTTTATTTGTGTTCTGTAATTTGATGATTTTTTTTTTTTTGAAACAAAATTCCAAGTGAAATGAGTAAATGTATTAATTTTAAAATATTTTCAAGTAAGAGGGATGCTTTAAGAAAAATTCTGTAGTTTTTTTAACATTATATAATTAAATCATTTATTTCAAATTTAATATAATTCACATCAAGACAAATGAAATGGGACAAAACTATGTCTAATGCTTACTTAATTCTATGTTATTTTTTTTTAAATTATTAAATTATCTTCTCTGTACTATTCAACTTTTATTAATAGTCTGAAAAAACAAATGTGCACTTTATTTAGATCATCTAAGAATGACAAATTGTATCTAAATTATTTTAGTTTTCCTTGTCAAATGTGCAAAATGAATAATAATTAATTGGGAGTTGTCAAAGGATCGGCTGTCTAAAGTTTCTAACTGCCCGTAGTATAACACTCCCACAGTGCAAGTATAATATCAATATTTATATTATATAATGGTACTCAAAAATTAGATTAATCATCTTTGTGTTAGCAATTTTGTATGTATAGTTTTAAATTAATATAGATTAAAAATGATTCAAAATAGTCAAATAATATCTTATTTAATCAATAATCTTGTTTATTATTTTTATTTTTTAGATGACATTGAGCCACCTACTGTCGAGACTATTGACACATTCATGGTTAATTTAGTCACACTGCTAACTACTAATACTACTACTGATCCTTTGTGGGTTGCAAATATAAAAAAAGCTATTTCTAATCTGGATTTTTCTCAATGTTAAATAAAGTATATTTTAAACAATCAATTTATAAGTCATAACTCATAAATGAACTGATTATGTTTAATAATATTATTTAACGTGATATGCCTATACCCTAAAAACTAAGATATTGTTTTAAATTTTAAATTATTGTTTATTTTAAATAAATTATGAAAATAAAATTTAGTATACTAATTTCTTGTGATAATCCTTTTAATTAAATGAAATGTTATGTAGTAAATAGTTATTATATTTTAATTAAATACTATAAAGATAAAATTTATTAAACATAGTAACACGATTTGTATTCAGCGAAATTTTTTACTATTGTTTTCTAAACGTAGCTTTCCTTCTATTAGTTTATTCATCCTTTCTATTTGTTTCTTATCAAACCCCTAAAAATATAAAAAAATATTCATTATTTTTTTACATTATAACTTAGAAGACAATAGTTATTTAACTTCAATTTTTATATTTCTTAATCCTTCTTTAGCCAGACAGACTTTTTGTTGATACTGAAATATTTGTTCTATAACATTTATAATGTTTGAACTAAATCGGTTATCTATGAAAAAAAAAATAAATGTTTAATAATTATTTCAGTATTTTTATTATACATTTTTTATATAATACATGAAATATTTAAATATTCAATTTTAAAATTTCCTGGGCTATGATAATTCAATCCACTCTTTAATAATTGACCTGTTAAGTATGGATGTGTGTGCGGAACAATCATATTTTCAGCTCTTTGTTTCAAATTAGTCACTAAATTAAATTAAAATATATTAGTTGATATTTAATATGTAAAATGTATTATATATTACTATAAACATTAAATATAAAGCCATTTCTAAAATTTTCTGATAGTGGACTGTTATACATTTTAAAGTTAAAAACTTTTGAAATTTTAAAAACATCTATTAAATCTAGTAGAAAATGTTTTTGTTTCATTATCGAATTCTTTTAACATATATAGTTATCAAGGAAGAAAACATATTGGTACAAAATCAAATGTTACACCAACAATGCGAATCGTAGTTAAATTTTATTTAATATAATATACACAAATTCTTCTATTTAAAAAAAAAACTAAATATATTTTTAAAAATGAAAAACTTATCAATTTTATAATAACTCTAATTAAATAGTTTTAAAAAATGTTTTTTTCATTAAAAAAGTTGGATCAAGTTATAATTGAAATGTAACAATAAAACATTAATATAGATGACTAGGTAATTTAAAATATAAGCGACAAAATTAGTAATATTTTATTATTTTCTTACACTCAATCGATGTTAACCCAGCACAATCAATACTATCATTTGATAGACTATTTTTTTCTTTTAATTTTTGAGTTAGAATATCCATCTAAAATACAATTTTTTTTGAATAATTTAACAAAATTAATAAATTTTACTTAATAATATAAAAATATAATTGTTATTGATAGAATGTAACTTTTTTTTTTCTTTAAACAAAAACAAAAGGTATAATTGAAGATGTTAATGTAATTTTTCAAGTTTCAAATTACTATGATGAAATGATATCTACACTATACCTTTTTTGAAGTGCCTACTGAATTAAATAAGTGTAGTAATCAATATTTTTTTTTAAATAAGTAAATTTTAAGATCCAAAGAAAAAATAGGTGACATTGAAATTTTTCACTCTTATAATTATTTTCATCAGTATATAGTTACTATGAACCTTCAATGTTAAAAAGTGTCATTGATAACATACAGAGATGTAGTGGAGGATATGCAGTGTATATCCACTTTCTAAATGTTGTAAAGAGAGCAAACAAAAAAAAAAAAAAAATGAAGATTGCAAGTTTATACTAAAAAACGTAACGTAATAATGCGTTTACTCAGTATATGCACAATTTACAAAAATTGTATAATGAAGGCATTAGGCAGTAATCATTTTATTCTATAATAATTAATACTAGAAATCAACATGCGAATTTATGACTTATTGCTGCATTAAAGCCTAGCCCTCTGTTGATCATGCATGTGATATGATAATGTTTGTAGTACCTACTTATTTACCTACTACATTTATTCACTATGTTGTGTATACTAATGTATAATTCACAAAATATACATCTCTAATTTGTTCAAATTTTTTGACTATTTACAATATTTTAAATCTGTTGCTGACTAACATAAATGATCGACTATTGAGTATATTATGAAACTCTAAAAGCTATGTTAAAAGTTGGGTTTTAAACCTTAAAACGGCTGATGACAATAGATTCGGAAAAATAATAGAAGTAAAAATGAAAATTTAAAACAAAATGTATGGAATATTCTATAAGTTTATATTAAGTTTTTGGTAAATAAATACATTTTATAATAATATTACTAACATGGTTTAAGCTAATAAATGTTGTTATTAATTTAAATAAGTAATTGAATTATGATGGGGGAGGAGTTAATGATAAAAGCCCCCTAAAAGCTAAAGCTGCTAAATCTTAGCATACAGTTTTTAGTACGTTTGCAATTAATTTCCGGACTATATCCCTGATAATATAAAAAATTATATCATAGAGAAATTCTTTAAATATAAGTAGGTTATACCTAATTCTCAAAAATATTTTGTTAAATGGTTGTTTAACTAGGTATATAATTATAATATGTAAATATTATTAAAATGTACCAAATATTCTAAAATCCTATTGCTTTTTAATTCTTGCATAGATTTCCAATTGGTTTCATCACTATTAAGTTGAAATTTTGACAAAACACTCACTAGGGCAAATGCACCTTCATCCTTAATCAAATTTCTAGCCAACGAAAGTGATTTTAATGTTCTGTTTGTTCTTAAAATCTAAGGCATATTTAATATTTTCTATAATTAGGTAGGTATGTTAATAATATAATATTGAACTATGAATCATAATATAAAGATTATAGATAAGCACATAATAATAACAATATGTATTATATTATGTAGTAATTATTGTGATTCACTTGTGCTATTTTTTTTGCTCCTTCACATGTTATACCATTGCAATCTAAATACAATGAATTCAACTGTGTTTTTCCACTTGTCTCGTCCAAAATATCCAAAAGATGGTTAACTCCTTTATCTTTAAGTTGACAAAATCTCAGCCATAATTTTTTCACTCTTAAATATAATTTATGTAATTTCATTACAATAATAATATAGGTAGGTAGACTCCAAAACAATATAAAAAATAAAAATAAAAACAAATGTAAAAAAATGAAATATATATAAATATATACATATTTGGCATAAGTAGGTATATGTGTAAGTACTTGGTATCTGGTGTTAAACAACATAAATAATTCAAATTTGATAGATCAATTCCATCAAATACTAATTCCATAACAAGACATTCTTCCATTTTTAGGTAGTTGCTTAAACTATTCAATATTTCTTGGTTAACTTTGTAGTTAGTTAAGCTGTGTATAAATGTATACTATATTTTAATTTCATATTATTTATTATATATATATTTGTGATAATGTCGATAATGAGTAGATAGAACTCAACAGAAATGTAAATTATAAGATTATGGTTAGGTTAAATCCTAAATTGATTTAAGGAGGAGAAAGATTTTTTAAATAACGAAACTGCAAAAGTGTTTAATTTAAAATTATAGGAAAAACCCTTATTAAACACAACTTTTTTTTATGATCAAAAAATGAGAGTATAAGGATTTCATCGTTTCCCCGCCTGCTTATATCCTACGTTGGGTGAGACGTAAATATGAAAATATGATCTATTAACAAAGAAATTCATATGATTTTTATGATAGGTATTTTAGTTTAATATCTACTATAGTAGCCACTAAGTACTTATCTACTACCTATGATTCTGGGTAAATTTTTGTATTAACTGTGAAATATTAAAATTAATAGGAAATACTTTGACTAGTAAAATTGGCGTTCGATGCCAAGATTAGTTTTAAGCTTTCTCCTTAAAACAAAAATGTGAATCTACCTGACTTACAAGCATTGTGGCTAGTACCACATATTTCGAAGGAGGAGATTAATTAATTCAATATTTTTTTGACTTAAACATAATATTCCAAAAATTTTTGTTGGATTATGCAAATTTATTATGTAGGTATAAAGAGATTGAATTCTTGAATAACGCTTTTAAATCATCTACAATCTTCCACATAGCCACCTAAATCGTTATTGATAAGAAGAAACTACAATACGGGTTAATTGTAAAATATAAATTCGATGTATATTAATGAATTTAGAATTCAGATGGCTAATTTAAAGTAATATTCTATTACAATACATTACAAAATGGCTTTTGGCGCCCCCTCGGTCTTAGGGCCCAGTGCGTATGTTGTTACTCTCACCCAATCCCACCACCACTATCGGGCATGAATCTGTTAATAGGCACTTATAATTTTGTTTATATAAGCCAGAGGTGGACTGGGCCGACGGACAAGTGGGCGATCGCCTCCTGGGCTGTTAGGGTTTTCGTCTTTACGATAATAATTGTATATTTTATTTGACAATTAAGGACACAAACATTTTTTTAAAATTATATTTAGCAAATAGACTACATGACGATATTTGAATAGTAGGGAGAGAAGATTAACCACTATAATTCTATCTGTCTAGGCTATTACTATTAAGATATGTATGTTGGTATAATGATATTTGTATAATATAATACCTGAACGGTTGGGCTTTTATATGATCGCCCGGGCCGATTTTTTACACCAATCCGCCCCTGTATAAGCACATTAATTATGACTACAATAAATTAATTACTATAGAATTTTTAATCGGTAGTAATTCTATTCTATTAAACATTGTGGGCACTTCTCTACCCTGAAAAAATAATTAAATCTAAAAAGGTATATATATGTACGTCTACCTATTATATAATATCTATCACATTTGTATTGCAACTTTTGATATTGAAATTTAGATTGATACCTATACACTCAATATATTATTACGATGATTAATTTGATACATTTTATTTTTAAAGTATAAATAATATTACCTGAGTTTAGTAATAGTTTTTGATAATTCCTGTTCATACCAATGCACATTGCTATAAACCTCCATTTTGCTTTCAATTTTCTTTCCTATTGTTCATTAAAC